TGCCTTCCAGGAGGGGTCATCAAAATCTGTCAGGTCCTTTGGAATAGGAAGTAGGCCCTCCCTCCTGCCTCTAAATTAAGGGAGTATCCCTCCATGGGGAATGTGCTCCTAAAGTCCTTTTGTGCACCAGGGATACATCCTGGTCCCACTATCAGAGGTCCCTTAGACTGCCCAGGCCTTCTAACTGAGACATATGTTCAGGGGATCTGAGTTGGTCCAATGTTGGATTCCTAGCTGCTATCAGTCTGGGGACCCAATGGCTCTTTCTTGTTCAGGTCAGCTGTCTCTGTGAATTTCTGTAGCCTGGTCTTGTCTTCCCTCTCCGCATCTGGATTCCATTTAGGCTCAGTGTTTAGCTGTGGGTGTTTGCTTCTGCTTCCATCAGCTACTAGATGTGGGCTCTATGATGGTGGACAAGTTAGTCATCAATCTCATTATCAGGGAAGGGCATTTATGGTAGCCTTTCCACTGTGGCTCAAATTGTTAGTTGGGGTCAGTCTTGTAGGTCTCTGAACATTTCTCTAGAGTCAGTTTTCTCTTCAAATCTATAATGGCTCCCTCTTTTATTCTCTCTCTCTTTCACTTTTATCTATTCCTACCCTGACTCAAATTTCCTGGTCCCACATGCTTTCCTCCCCTTCTCTTTCTCCTAGCTCCCTTTCCACTCACTGCCCACCCCCCAATATGCTCAAGAGATCGTGTTCCTTTCCCTTTCTGTGTGGGACCTTGTATGAATCTCTTAAAATCCTCCTTGTATCCTAGTTCCTCTGGTGGTGTGAATTAAAGGCTAATGATCCTTTGCTCTATGTCTAAAATCCATATATGAGTGAGTACATACTATGTTCCTCTTTTTGTGACTCGTTACTTCATTCACGATGGTTTCTTCAAGTTCCATCCATTTGCCTGAGAATTTCAAGATTCCATTGTGCCCCCCCCCCACAGAGTAGTATTCCATTGTGTAGAAGTGCCACATCTTTATCCTTTCTTCAGTTGAGGGGCATCTAGGTTGCTTCCAGGTTCTTGCTATTACAAATAATGCTGCTACAAACATAGTCGAACAGATGTCTTTATTGCACGGATGTGGGTCATTTGGGTATATGCCTAAGAGTGGGATTGTTGGGTCCTGTGGTAGACTGATTCCCATTTTCCTGAGGAACCGCCATACTGATCTCCAAAATGTCTGTACGAGTTTGCACTCCCACCAGCAGTGGAGGAGTGTTCCCCTTTCTCCACATCCTCTCCAGCATGAGTTGTCATTGGTGTTTCTAATTTTGGACATTCTGGCAGGAGTAAGATGGTATCTCAAAGTTGTTTTGATTTGCATTTCCCTGATAGCTAAGGATGTTGAACACTTTCTTAAGTGTCTTTCAGCCTTTTTGATTTCCTCTACTGAGAATTCTCTCTTCAGTTCTGTGTCCCATTTTTTAATAGAGTTATTTGGTGTTCTGGTGACTATTTTTTTGAGTTCTTTGTATATTTTGGAGATCAGCCCTCTGCCAGATGTAGGATTGATGAAGATCTTTTCCCAGACTGTGGCCTGCCACTTGGTCTTGTCAGCTGGGTCCTTTGTCTTACAGAAGCTTCTCAGTTTGAGGAGGTCCCATTTATTAATTGTTGATCTCAGTGTCTGTGCTACAGGAGTCATTAAACATGTTTAAACAATTTGAGATTCCAAAGTATCTTAACTCCTATAAAATGAAAAAAAAACCAAGTTATACAATCCAATATACATTTATTTATTTACTTATTTTTCTTTTATGTGCAGTGATGTTTTATCTGCATGTATGTCTGTGAAGGTGTCAGATCCCCCTGTAACTGTAGTTACAGACAGTTGTGAGCTGTCATGTGGGTGCTGGGAATTGAACCTGGGTCCTCTGGAAGAGCAGCCAGTGCTCTTAACTGCTGGGCCATCTCTCCAGCCCAGCATAATCCTGTAGCAATAATAGTAAAAAACCAGAGACAGATATTGGAGTTCAAGCTGATGGTCTGATAAGCAAAGCAGCTGGCAACTAGCTCTTACCTCTACCTTTGGCTAAAAGGGCTGTCCTGTCTCTATGAATCCTCAGAGACAGTGTTACCTCTAAGAAACCTCAGAGGCAAAAGCCTCCTCCTCCTTATATTCCTTTCCTTGTCCAGCCATATCACTTCCATCTCCACCTCCCTAGTGCTGGGATTAAAGATGTGTGCCACCACTGCCTGGCTCTATGGCTTGCTAGTATGGCTGCTGGGATTGAATGTATGTCTCACCATTGCCTGGTCTCTATGACTTGTGGCTAGCTTTGCTTTCTGAACCCTCAGGCAAGTTTAATAAATCATAAATAATATATCACTACATAATCCCAAATATATAATGGTCCAAAGCAAACATTCCTATTGTAAAATGGAAGAATTGGGACAAGTTATGATTAGACCAAAGTAAGATGCAACTCCAGCAAGGCAAGCACCAAATCCTACATCCTGGTACCTAACATCTAAATCTGATGAAGTTGTCTACATTCTGAAGCATATATAGCCCCATCACTCCAGAGCTGCCACCTGCAGCACATATGTCTGTGTCTTGGAGACTGGCTCTTCACTGTGCCTATAGCTGTCTTTGGCAGACAGCTGGTGTCAAGGTCCTGGCATCTTTGATATCCTGTAGTCTCCAATGTCACTTAGACTTCACCTTCAAAACCCCACACGGTGACTTCTGAGGCCTATTTTGCAGGAACTCTGCTATGGTGCCTGATCTCAGTTGTCCTATATGACCTCCCTATCTTACATCCTTCATTCCTTCAAAACTAGTCCCATGTGGATGCCAGTGCTCAGTTTACTGCCACCCCAGGTTGGAGCCTCTACTCTTGTTCAGGCCATCTTTCCTCTTGTTCCACTGTGCCCCAATAAGTTTTCCTCTAGTGACATTGAAGGGTTTTTTTGTTTTGTTTTGTTTTCATCAATTACAGCTACTCTCAGCATTGATTTTCAAACTCCCACAAATATGGCCCATTAAGGTATTCAGGGACTTTTCTAACCCATATTATCATGTTCCTCCTACAAACAGTGCCTAAGATGGTCACGTTTATCACACAAACAGCCCCAAGATAGAGTACAAATAGGGAGCAGCACGTGACCAATGAATGCTGGTCTTAACACCATCATTTTGCACAGTCCAGGACCCCCCTGCTCAGGGAGTGCTACTACCAACACTTTGTTCCCACATCAAGTAATATAAGCTAGATAATCACAGGTCTGCCAGGGGCTTGTGTCCTACATGATTATAAATTCTATAAAGTGACAATTACCATTAACCATCACACGCTTTAAAAGTTTGTTATAGAAAGTACAGAATTGTGTGCATTTCTGTAACAAGTGACAGACTGGCTAGTTAGAGCTGTTTCCAGAACATGTGGCATTCTTCTTGTTTCATTGCTACTGACATTCTCCAATTTAAAAAAAAAAAATGGTAATGATAACTTAGTACAATAATCAGCCCTGTCTTACATTGTGTGTCTAGTTGCTGTGACAGAATTCCTAAGAAGACATGTTTTTGTTTTTAAAGATTTATTTTGTTACTTATTTGTGTGAGTGTTCACCCCACTCCCCCAAGAGAAGCCAGAAGAGGGCATTAGATCCTCTGAACTGGAGTTCAGGTAGTTGTGAGTCATGTGATGTGAGTAGATTTTTTGTTGCTGGGGTAAAATATTATAGCCAAAAACAACCTGGGGAGGAAAGGGTTTATTTCAAATCACAGTTCCATATCATAGCCCATTACTGAGGGAAGTTAGGGCAGGAACTCAAATAGGGCAGGAACCTGGAAGCAGGAGTTGATGTAGATGAAGGAGTGCTGCTAATTATCTTGCTCCCCATGGCTTGCTCTGCAGGCTATTCTTATAGCATCCAGGACCAACTGCCCAGGAATGGCACCATCCACAGTGAGCTGGTCCCTTGTACAACAGTCATCAATCAAGAAAATATATTGCAGGTTTTGTCCATGAACCAATCTGATGGCAGCATTCTCTCTCTGTGTCTCTGAGATAGGGTCTCACTATATAGCTCTGGCTATCCTGGAACTAGCTCTGTAGACCAGGCTGGCCTCAAACTCAGAGATCTGCCTGCCTCTGCCCCCCCCCCCCCCAGTTGGGATTAGAGGTGTGCACCACTGTACTCACCATTGGGGGCAAATTTTCAATTGAGGTTACTTCTTCCAAAATGGTTCTAGCTGGTGTCAAGTTGACCTAAAACTAGCTAGCATACTGGTTCTCACAAGAGCAGCAAGTACTCCTGATCCCCAAGCTATCTCTCCAACTCCCTTAAGAAGAAATCTTGGGGGAGAATAGCCTATTTTAGCTTATAATTCTAAGATGCAGAGCATCATGGCTAGAAGGCATTGCAGGAAGAGCTTGAGGTACCTCATCACATTGGGTTTCTCATCAGGAACTTTTGATAAATGTTGATTATCTAATCCCTGTGTTCTCTGATTATATTGGTTTCTAACCTGTGTCTGATGAGCACTTAAAAACATTACAAGAATTCTGAAAGAAAATAGATACTGGAAGAGTACCATGTGATTGATATCATCTGTTGGGAAAGCTATTTCCTTCTTTATAATTGGGGTGGGAAAGAATCCCTCTGAATAGTGGTTGAGGATACCAGGAGAAGAGGAATTGTGTTCTTCTGCATTACAAAGAACATGCAGTCTTAGGACAGCTGGTGCAGACTCATATGAGGCATTAGGTAATCAGAATTTATTGTAAATGTTGAATCAATGTACAAGGAGAGGTTAGCACAACCTATCTGGACAAAAATGGGCCTATCCTGTTGTTGCTTTACCAGATAGATCCAGTCTACTGTGAGAATTACTGTATGATAGATTCTTAGTGTGTGTGAAATGTAAGTGTGATGACCAAGATATGACCTAAACACATAGAGCTTTGAATCTTAGCAGCTTCTTATGAATTAAGATTAGCTGTCCAGTACTATGAAACTTACACTTCCTTGTGGAAATGTATATGGGCTTTTAGGAGTCAGTAACCTTTGAGGATGTGGCTGTGAACTTCTCCCTGGAGGAGTGGGCTATGCTGAATCCATCCCAGAAGAACCTCTACAAAGATGTGATGCAGGAAACTTTGAGGAACCTGGCCTCTATAGGTAAGGATTTCATCATTCCTTTAATTAGTCATTCAGAGAAAAAGTGCTCTGCATGGGTCTGGTATGGTAAGAAACATTAGGTGATGTGTGATTTTTTTTTTTCTTTAATTTTTATTGTATATGCATTGGTGTTTTACCATGGGTGTTTGGTTCACTGGAACTGGAGTTGCAGACAGTTGTGAGCGGCCATGTGGGTGCTGGGAATTGAACCTGGGTCCTCTGGAGGAGCAGTCAGTGTTCTTAACTACTGAGATATCTTTCCAGCCCCTGTGAGATGTATCACTTTTTTACTGTAAGTTTTGCTAGAATCTGTTAACATATTTACTGTGATGTCATAATTTATAATTATTTCACTTGGTTTGTGTTTTAGGAAGCAGTTTGGAGCACCATATCATTGAAAATATATACCGAAATTCCTGGAGTAAACTAAGGTAATAATGGACCTCGAGAAATAGCCATGCTCCTCAAGAGTGGTGGTTGCACATTGTCCAGAGTAGTAAAATACACACCCCAGTTTCAAACTCAATTACTCTCAGGAATTTTTCTTTAAAACTGGAGACATACTAAACATCAACATTCTGAAAACCTTATAAGGATCCCAGTCCTGGAAATAACTGGAACATCTTGATGCCTGAAGTGATTTTGTCACACTTGATATGTACCAACTTTGCTCCATACTGTATTGCTAAAATTTAAATAATGATTTATCCACAAACCTTATGTATAAGATATGCACAATACAAAAAGCAGGTAACTTTTTAGGCTTGGACTAAATTTTAAAATCTCATTGTGGCCTTTCCACTAGTTCAGAATGTAACATGGTTTTGGTCATTTGTATGGTGTATCAGAATTGTACAGTACCGAGAAGTGGATATGTTGTTACTGTTTTACAAATCCACTTTTATTTAGTTTTTCATTAGTTTTGCTCTATGAGGGATACAGGGCCACTAGGATTCTGTGTCCAGTGGCCTTTGCAGCAAGTTTTCTTCACAATTTGGCAAGAAGCATGCCACTGTTTCATGGACCTGAATTACCTTCCTCAAATCACTGTTGTTGTTTCCAGGAGTCACTGTGTTGGTTTTTGCTTTACACACATAAGCATATCTCTTGCTTAAATAGAATTTGGTTTCATCTTGGGCATAAACTCCTTCAATTTTAAGAAGAGCCATGTACCAACAGCCTTCCAGATACACTTGCCTTTTAGAAGTCCTGTTTCTAGCAGGCCTTTTCAGGTATCAAGATGGCATCAAGAATTGAAATATATACTTTAGTGTGACATAAAACATGTTTGCTAGATAGGTAGATAATATAATACAGCCATTGGTGAATGCCACTGCTTTTGTTACAGTTGTCCTCAGAGTTGCTGAGAGCATTCAAGCAAATGCTTGACTTAAAAAAGACTTAAAAAAGTCTGACAGCAAAGAACCAACATTTGTCCTGACGAGTAGTTAATAAAATACCAGTGATGCACGTTTGCTTTCTTGCAGTGGTGAAGCGGTAGAGGGATTCTATGACTATAAAGAAGACCATCAGTGCACAGAACTTTTTGACTTCACCACACAGAGTATTGTAAACCAGAACCCTTTTCCAGGAGTACACATATGTGAAAACAGCGGATGTGCCAGAGTCGTCATTGGCCATTTGTCTCTAAGTGTGCTCCTTAAACCTGACACAGAGCATGAATCCTACGAAGATCGGGAATATGGAAAGGAATTGTACAACAATATGGAATTTGGGGCTACCTCCAGTTCTCTCCCATCCTTTGAGCACTATGGAAATACTTATACTCTAGAGAGACTGTATAAAAGTGAGAATTGTAATGAAGACTATAGATTTGGTCAAAATCTTGAAAAGACTTTGGCTGAAGAAAAGCCCTTTCAATGTAAGCAATGTGGGAAAGGTTTCAGTTCTTCAAGGTACTTTCGAAGGCATGAGCGACGCCATCGTGCAAAGAAATCCTATATATGTAAGCAATGTGGGAAAGCATTTGCTTTTCCCACCTACTTACAAACACATGAAAGAATTCACACTGGGGAGAAGCCCTATGTGTGTGTGCAGTGTGGGAAAACCTTTGCTCATTCTCGTTCCCTTAAAACCCATAAAAGAACTCACAGTGTGAGGGACCTCTTTGTATGTAATTACTGTGGGAAAACCCTACGTCATTATAGTTCTCTTCAAATTCATACAAGAATTCACACTGGAGAGAAACCTTATGTATGTAAACCATGTGGCAAAGCCTTCATTACTTATCGTTCCTTTCGAATCCATGAAAGAATTCACACCGGAGAAACTCCTTATGAATGTAAGCAGTGTGGAAATACTTTCATGCGTTGGATTCAATTACGAAAACATGAAATAATTCACAGCGGTGTGAAACCCTACGCTTGTAAGTTATGTGGGAAAAGCTTTACTTGTTCTGGTTCCCTGAGAACACATGAAAGAATTCACACTGGGGAGAGGCCTTATGTGTGTGACCAATGTGGGTATAGCTTTACTCGGTTAAATTCACTTTTAAGACATAAAATAACCCATACTGGTGAGAAGCCCTATGTGTGTAATCATTGTGGGAAAACTTTTCCTCGTTCTGCTTCTCTTCAAAGACATGTAAAAATTCACACTGAGGAGAAACCCTATGTATGCAAGCAGTGTGGGGTTGCCTTCGCTACTTCCACTGACCTTCTAGAACATGAGCAAACTCACATTGATGAAAAACCTTACATATGTGAGCAGTGTGGGAACGCCTTTGTGCTTTGGAGTCAGTTTCAAAAACATAAAGCACTTCACAGTGTCCCAGTTTCCTACATTTGTAAGCAGTGTGGGAAAAGCTTCACTTCTTCGAGGTCTCTGAAGACACATGAAAGAATTCACACTGGGGAGAAGCCCTACGAGTGCAAGCAGTGTGGAAAAACCTTCCTTTGGTCTTACTCCCTTCAAAGACATGAAAAAACCCATAGTGATGGGAAGCCCCATGTGTGCAAACAATGCGGGCAAGCTTTCACATACTACAGTCATCTTCAAGTGCATGAAAAAATACACATTGATGATGAACCTTACAATTGTAAGTACTGCGGGAAACCCTTCTTCACTTTGAACCATTTGCATAGACATGAAGTACTTCACACTACCCTGGATTCCAATGTTTTTTAATAATGAGAGGAAAAAAAATTTTTTTGGCTTGGTAGCTTTGAAAGAAATAAGCAAAACCACACTGGCGGCGGGGAGGGGGGAGGACAATTCAGAAAAACCTTTCGCTTTGTTTCATTGAAACAAGCATGAAGCGACACAATGGAGAGGAATGTTGTTTAAAAAGTCAATGTGCAAATGGTTTTCGCTCTTAAAGTCCCTTGAAGTACATGAAAGAGAAACAGGCCTGTGACTGAGTGATGCGGCGAAGCCTTCTGCAATCCCAGATCATGGAGGAGACATGAGAAAATGCACTCTAGAGAGACTTCTTACTTGTATATGTGGTATTGTAAATAGCCCTTCACTTCTTCCTCATTCCCCCTGAACACATGGAAGGAGTCACTATGGAGAGAAACCCTTCGTATATAAGCAGTCTTGGATAGTCTTCAGTTGTCATCACATCCTCTCACAAACATTTAAGAACCTACTGTAAAGAAACCTTAAAAATAGGATTGTGAACTCTTCATTCGTCATCCTGATAGCAGTCACGAGAATGTACATGGGGAGAATTCCTACCAATGGAGAACCGGTATGAATACCACTTGGCTAAATTAACAGATAAAGAAAGAACCTGATACGAAGTGCTGATTTGCTTGAAAGAGATGTTCCAGGTTTCATTTGGCACACATAGAAAAACACATCAGATGAAAACCTTTGCTGTTGAAAAACATTGGAAGTCTAGAGCAGCAAAATCCTTTGAGATCTTTTCATATTTAATCTGATAAATGTCAGTGTTAAGAAGGACTGGGCTTACTAGTTTTTTGTTTTGTTTTGTTTTATTCTTGTAGCATGCTCCAGGGAATGCACCTCTGAAGAGAATGTTATCAGTACAGGCTTTTGTATTTATTGGGAAATTTCAGAGGCTCATAGGGGTGGCTTAGCCTTTAAGAGCACTTGCTGCTCTTCCAAAGGACCTGTATTTGGTTTTCATTACCAGATCACAGGGCTCTCAACTGCTTGTGACTCCAGTTCCAGGAAATCCGATTCTTCTCATAAACATGTGACATAGATTCACATGTACACGTAAGAATAAAATTTAAATTTTTCTCAAGTCACTCCCACCCCCACCCCAGAAAAGCTTTTGCTGTGTATCCCAGGTTTATCTGGAACTGGTAATCTTCCAGCTTCTAACTCATGAATGTTTAATGAAAGGGCATCTGCCTCCACATTCGCCATCATTAACTCCTGTTTCAGAGTTCATCTCTTGACTTGTTTCTAAATTTTAAAAGTAAGCCTAGATCAGTGCTTTGTGTTATGTGGAATGGCAGCTTAAACCTAGAAAGTGGACCCTACATATGAAAAAAAAAAATAGAAAGTGCTTTTTATTAAATTATTTTGTGAGGTTTCTTAAAGCAATCATGTATTAGTGTAATGAGTGGTATCTTTTTGTATCAAATAAGGTAGGTGCTTCTTTCATTTTAAATTAGGTTGGATTCACTGGTGAATTGAATCTTGAAATGTGCCAGTCCGCATAAATATCTTTAAAAAGCATTTTATTATTTATGTGTGTGTGAGTTTGAGAGAGAAAGAGATAAGAAAGTAGGTAGGTATGTGCCAGTAGAGGCCAGAAGACGATGTTGTATCCTTTAGAGCTGGCATTACAGATATCTGTGACATGCTTGATGTGTGTAATGAAATCTAAATCCGAATCATCATGATAGAGCAGTAAGTACTCTTAACTGCTGAGCCATCTCTCAAGCCCCTGCATAAATGTCTTCTTCAATCATGTTTAGTAGGTGGTTAAAATTATGATTTTGTGAATATTGGAATAGTCCTTTTGGTTTCATTTGTCTGGTTTTGAGTATACTTCCATTTTTCATGGAAAAAAAAACCCACTTGTGAATGCACAAATGTGTATTGGGAACATTGTTTATATGTTTATGTGTTGGTGGTGTTCACAAGGAGAACAAAGTAATATATTGGGTGTCTTATTCAGTTGCTAAGTTATTCCCCCAAGACAGGCCTCACTGATCCTGGAGCTGGGCAGACACCAGGAAAGCCCAGCATTTCTTGTCTCTGGTGCTGGGTGTGCAGACACAGTCATTCCCAGATTTTTGTTGATAGGGAATAACACTGGAGTCCTCATGAGTGCACAGCAAGTGCTTTTACCCACTTAGCCACCTTCTCAGGCCTAAACTACTCTCAAATTGATTTTGTCTCTTGTGTTTATGTTTCTCTCTGATGTGTTCTCATAATCCTCGAGTACATGTTCTTTCAACTTTGAAGTATTTTCAAAATACTTTTACAATAGCAAGCTTTAGGATGTGTTTAGTTTAGTTTAGTTTTTCCTATTCAGAAGGTAATTACAAGTATATTGTAATCATAGGTCACAGCACTTTTTCAAGTTGGCTTTTTTTTGAGTATTTCATACATGCATACAGTAAAAGATAATCATATGTACCCAGTATTTCTCCTTCCAACTCTCTCTATATTCTCCCTAATGCCCCCTCTTAACTTTGTCTTTTTAAATAACCCATTAGGTCTGGTTAGTATTGCTCATACATGCATGGGTATGGGACCACCCACTGGAGGAAGGGTGACTTACCAGTAGTTACATCTTCACAAATGATTCTCCACACCCCAGCAGCTATTCACTGCCAGTAGCTTCCCAGTAAGTGGTGGGACCTGGAGATAATCTATCTGCTCCATCTAAACTGGGATTTTGGCTTGCTTGCTTTTATAGGTCTTATGCATGCAGTCACAGTTGCTGAGTTTATGATTCTAGTAACCATGTCAAAAAAAAAAAAAAAAAAAAAAAAAAAAAAAAGCATTTCACAGCAGTCCTCCCCAACCTTTAGTTCTCGGATTCTTGTTGCTTCTTCTTTGCTTTTCCCTGAGCCTTAGAGTTGGTAGTGATTAATATAGCTGTCTCATTTAGAGGTGAACATTCAGTCTGTCTTAGCACTTTGGCCAGCTATGCATATCTCCACTGACAGACGCCCACTGTGTAAAAGGAAGCTGCTCTGACCAAAGTTGAGAGCAGCCAAGGTCCATTGGTGCCAAGAGCTGAGTGGATGGCAGAAACTTGGGGGTGGGGGAGGGGTTGGGGATGATGTCATGCTACATAGCCTTGGCTAGCTTGGAACTTTCTATGTAGGCCAGGCTGTTATCAACTTGTGTTTAGTTTTGTTTTATGTCATGAACTATTATCATGCATATATGATTATGAAATTTCACTGTGTGAATTTTGCTTTTTGTGTATATTTCATTTTCATTGTAATTTCTCTAGTCATTACACTAAAGGATATAGTGGTATTTGCCTTCTTGCCAAAAACTATGTTCAATAAATTCTGCTAACTCTCTCCATACATGACAAGTGAGGGACTCATCTGTGAAAGAATTCTCCATAGAGTTTCTGACAGGACTGATGTTTTATTTCAGGGGTCTTACAAGGATTAATTCTGTAATTAGGTGTCCTCCAATTTGGATGTACTGAGGGGCAAATGTAATTCTGATCTTGTAATCACAAGAGCAGTTACCCAGAAGTACTGGACTAAAGGGGGAGGTAATTCATGAGATGAGCTAGTCAGTCCATCAGAGAGTAGAAGGTACTTTGATGATCCAGAATGTTTTACGGTTTTTCAGCTTACAGATGTCCTTATAGAATGTCCTTCTGTTATAGTCATTAAGAAGCATTTCTCATTGGTGGAGGCTTTGCAACATGTCCTTCAGTGGCAGAAGATGTGGTCTTGCTGTGTGAAGTGATCTAGTGTTTGGATTATTTTTGCATTTCTTAGTTTTTTTTTATATAAACATTAATGTTTATCATCATGATGGATGCAGTTATACACACACACACACATGTATATATGTGTGTGTTCCTAGAGTTTCCATGGGATTACATTATAAGCCCATAGTAAAGTGAAAAATATAAGAAAAGCACTTTACACTCAACCTGGTGATCATCAAACCTTAGCCTTGTCTACACCAACATTTTTGGGCCCACTTATATTTTCCTAAAGTTGGGGAAAGTTTCTTTTTCTTTACATTTAAGTTTTTTGTTAGTGTGTATGTTGGCATACTTAAGGTTTAGTCGTGACATTGTGACCCAGGTTTCCGTGTACTTTAACCATAATCACTGTCTCTCATTCCTCTCCTCCCCAGTGGTCCTGTTCTCCCTAATAAACTCTCTTAACAGTTTCATCTCTGTTGTTTGTTAAAATCTGGATTCTGTTCTGTATCCAGGGAGCACCATTTGGGACTGAGTGTCATTTATGTGGTGGTTTCCAGTTTCATCCATGGTCTGCCAAATTTCCTGTTAAGTTCTTGGAGAGCTAGTGTAGTCTACATTTTATATATGACACATTTAAAATTTTTTACTTTATCTATTGATGGGCACTTAGGCTAGTCTGTAATTAAGTACTATGAGTATTAGTATATGAACCTGTATACAAACATGCATAGTATGATTTGATTTAGATTCCTTTTGTTACACATTAAACAGTAGCACAATAGGACCATAAAATAGTTATATTTTGAGTACTTGATGAAACACTACTAATTACCAGAGTGACTGTGCTAATGTACATTTCCAGGAATAGCCCTACATTCTCACCAGCTTGTGTTTTAGTTTAGTTTGGTTGCTTGGTAGCTAATTACATTGAGGTGAACTTAATTGTATTGAGGATTTTCATGATTTATTGACTATTTGTACATTGATTGAGAATTGTTTCCCCATGTATAGATTTAGTCACATGTTGGTTTGCAATAATAGTGTGTGTGTGTGTGTGTGTGTGTGTGTGTGTGTTTTCTGTACATTAATCCCTTGAAAGATGAATGAATATCCAAAGATATCTTCCCCCATTCTGTAGCTTTTTCTGACAGTTGTTTCCTTTTTTCTGTGTAAAAGCTCTTTAGCTTCTTGCAATGACTAAATCCCATTTATACTTTGGGGTTTTTTGTTTGTGTGTCTTTAACATTGCTTCTTGCTATGGATGCCTGACTAGCCTGGAGCTTTCACACACCAGGTTAACATCTAATTTATAGCAGTCTTCCTGCCTCTGGTTCCTGGATGTTAACATTGTAATCATG